TGCCTCATAGGGCTGTTGCTGCAGCTGCTGTTTGCTCTGTGCTTCTTCTCCTACATCCGAGTATCCCATGACCAACCCGGCCCCCCAGCTCCTGATAGCTCCACAGGACCAGCCTCCACCCCAACTACCCCTGTCCCCAGACCCTTCCTCATCTTACTGTGGACATGGCCCTTCCACAGCCCACTGACTCTGTACCCCTGTTCCAAGATGCTCCCAGGCACCGCCGACTGCCAGATGACTGTCAACCGGAGCTTGTACCCCCAAGCAGATGCAGTCATCTTCCACCACCGAGAAATCAGCCCCAACCCCAGGTCACTGCTGCCAAGTCAGCCGAGGCCGCCAGGCCAGCGCTGGGTGTGGTTCAGCCTGGAGTCACCCAGCCACTGCAGCAGGCTGTCAGCCCTGGATGGACACTTCAACCTAACCATGTCCTATCGCAGCGACTCTGACATCTTCACACCCTATGGCTGGCTGGAGCCGTGGGCAGAGCCTCCAGTCCAAACCCAGGTCAACATGTCTGCCAAGACTGACCTGGTGGCCTGGGCTGTGTCCAACTGGAACCCCAAGTCGGCTCGGGTGCTGTACTATCAGAAGCTTCAGAGTCACCTCCATGTGGACGTGTATGGCCGAGGACATATGCCCCTTTCCCGAGGGGACATGATGGGGACGCTGGCCAGATACAAGTTTTACCTGGCGTTTGAGAACTCACTTCACCCAGATTACATCACAGAGAAGCTGTGGAAGAATGCTCTGGAGGCCTGGGCTGTGCCCGTGGTCCTGGGGCCCAGCAGGAAGAACTATGAACGCTTCCTGCCCCCTGATGCCTTCATCCACGTGGATGACTTTGAGAGCCCAGCAGACCTGGCTCAGTACCTGCAGAAGCTAGACAAGGACAGCCAGAGCTACCAGCGCTACTTCCGCTGGAGGGAGACGCTCAGGCCTCGCTTGTCTAGCATGGCCCTTGCCTTCTGCCAGGCATGCAGGCAGCTGCAGTGGGACCAGAGGTACCAGACGGTCCACAGTGTGGCCTCTTGGTTCCACTGAGGTGGCTGGCCAGAGTCCTGCAGGCAGTGTCCCACTC